GAAGGGTGAATTCATTCCCTGTCACTTATTGGTGGTTGTTTTTTGGCAATTTTTGTGTGTGATAAAAAACTTTCACATAACGTATAATTTACCATATTAAATTGTGCAACTTCATGGTCTTTTGTATATTCACAGTGTTCTGCAGCATCACAACTAAACATTTTCATCACCCTAAAAAGAAACCCCATACATTAGTCACTCTTCATCCTACTCCCCCCACTACTCTAGAACAACCACTAATATACTTACTTTCTCTATGGGTTTGTCTATTTCTGTACATTTCCTTTAAATGGAATGATATAACTTGTGGCCTTCTTTTAAATAGTATAATGTTTTAAATATCATGTTGTAGCATACATCAGTACTACATTTTTCTTTACAGCTGAATAATATTTTATTGTATGTATTTCATTTTTGTTGGAGTGGAAGTCAGATGCTGAAGCCTTTTAACTGATTTCTGCTGCCTCTTTTATCTCCCATATAGTCTATATTTGGCTTTCCAGGTAATTTTAATATGCTGCCAGGGCTGATAATCAGATTTAGAAAGTACTAGAAGAGAAGCAATTTTAAATAGATATAAGGACTTACCTAGAATCTTTTTTTCTTTGTCTTCCTTTATCTCTTTCTTTGATTCTGAAAGGGAGGGATACCAGATTGATTTAAGTGGTTTTAAAGATTGGCACTGGTTGCTTTCTGTAATGCATACTCTGAGTAAATTGTAGAAAATATAGAGATGAAAATAGAGACCATCTATAAGATCACTACCTAATACTTTGGAACATTTATTTTTCAGCTTTTTTTATCTTTTTTTTTTTTTAATATGTTTTTATTGATTTCAGAGGGAGGAAGGGAGAGAGAGAGAGAAACATCAATGTTGAGAGAGAGTCATTGATTGGCTGGCTCCTGCATGCCCCCTACTGGGATAGAGCCCACAACCCGGGCATGTGCCCTGACTGGGAATCAAACCGTGACCTCCTGGTTCATAGGTTGATGCTCAACCACTGAGCTATGCCATTTGGGCTTTTTTTACTTTTTAATTCTGTATTTTTGTATCCCATCACCTATCATTTATTTACCCTACTTTGTTTGAGATTATCTTCAGTGTGTAATTTTGTTTCCTGCTTTTTCCACTTAATGTGTAAGCATTTTCAAATACGAAATTGTTTTTCATATGGATATACTAAATTACAATTATTCTAGTGTTGGAGATAATTAGGTTGCTTCCAGTTTTACTTATTATGATTATTGTTTAAATAATAGATTAACTGTTAGAAAAAATTTTAAGGCTTAGAAATATGTTACCAAACTGTTCTCCAGAACATGCCAATGTATACTTTAGCACATCTAGCACTCATCCTTGAAAGTGTTTGCTTCATTCATCACAATTTTACCAGCATTGCAGATACTGCCTAGCCATCATGTTTTGTTTACCACACAAGTTAAAATTTCTAGATTTTAAACATTTGCTTTGTACTTTATAGTATAAGGCATTTATTTTGTGTGTGGTTCTGTGTTTTAATAAGAAATATACCAGTGGGATTGTTTTCTTACTTTCTTTCACAGATTGTTCATTGTTAGTGTATAGAAACAATTGATTTTTGTGTGTTAATATATTCTGTAACGTTGAATTTGTTTACTAGTTCTAACAGGTTTTTTTGTGAAATGTTCTGGGTTTTCTACATAAAAGATCATGTCATCTGTGGACAGAGTTCATTTTACTTTTTCCTTTCCAATTTGGGTGCCTTTATTTTTTTCTTAGTAATTACTCTCACTAGGACTCCAAGTACTGTGTGGAATAGAAGTGGTAAAAGCAAGCATCCTTGCCTTGTTCTTGGTCTTAAAGGAGAAGCTTGTAGTTTTTTCACCATTACGTATGTTAGCTGTGGGCTTTCATATATGGCCTTTATTATATTGAGGTGATTTCCTTCTGTTCCTAGTTTGCTGAGTGAATTTTTGTTGTTGTTTTTGTTGTTTTTTATGAAAGAATGCTGAATTTTGTTAATGCATTTATTGAAATGATCGTATATGTTTTTTCCTTCATTCTTTTATTGTGTATTATATTGATAAATTTTTGTATCTTGAACATTCTTGCATTCCAGGAATAAATCCCACTCGGTCGTGATATATAGGCAACATACTGTACTTTACATCCTCAGAATTTTATTAATATTGTAACTGAAAGTTTATACCTTTGACCACCTTAACCGATTTCCTCCTTCCTCCACTCTCCTTCTTGCAGTATTTTTGTCTAATTTTTGTATCAGTAACATTGGCCTCGTAAAATTACTTTGGAAATTTTTCCTCTTCTTTAATTTTTATTTTTTGAAAGAGTTTAAGAATGATTATTGTTGATTCTTTATATGTTGGTAGAATCCTCCAGTGAAGCTATCTGGTGGTGAGCATTTCTAGGTTTGATCAGACTTTTTATTTTCTTGATAGGTTGTATGTTTCTAGAAATGTACCTATTTCTTCTAGATTATCCAGTTCATTAGTGTATAATTGATCATAGTAGTCTTATGATTTTCTTTATTTCTGTGGCATCAGTTTTAATGTCTCTTTCATTTCTGATTTTTAGTATTTGAGTTTACTCTTAGTTCATGTAGCTAAGGGTTTGTCAGTGTTGTTGATCTTTTCAAAACAACTTTTAGTCTCATCGAATATTTTTCCTATGTTTTAATTTTCTATTTCATTTATTTCTGCTCTAATATATCCTTTCTTTTGCTAATTTACAATTTTGTTTGTTCTTTTTCTAGTTCCACGAAGTATAAAGTTAGGTTGTTTATTTGAAATCTTTTTAATGTAGGTAGGAGTTTACTGCTATAAACTTCCTTTAACATTGCTTTTGCTGTATCCCTTAAGTTTAATGTTGTATTTTTGTTTTCATTTGTCACAATATTTTCTGAATTCTCTGTGATTTCTGTGGGGTTTTTTTAATATATATATTATTGATTTCAAAGAGAGGAAAGGAGAGGGAGAGAGAGAGATAGAAACATCAATGATGAGAGAGTCATTGATCGAGCCCACAACCGGGTCATGTGCCCTGACCGGGAATTGAACCCCGATCGCCTGGATCCTAGGTCGACGACGCTCAACTGCTGAGGCACGTCCGGCCGGGCTGTGATTTCTTTTTGACCCATTGGTTGTTCAAACGTGTGTTGCTCAATTTTCATGTACAGAGTGGGGCAAAAATAGGTGTACAGTTGTGAGTACACGAAACAGTTTATTGTTGTATTAATTACTAATTGTATTATTTTCCATATGAGCAACCTACTTTTGCCCACCCCTATATTTCCGAATTTTTCAGTTTTCCTGTTGCTGTTGATTTCTAGTTTCATTCCATTGTGATTATAAAAGATACTTGGTATGATTTCAGTCTTCTTAAATTTGATAACACTTGTTTTGTATCCTAGTGTGTGATCTATCCTGGGGAATGTTTGCGAGTGCATGAGAAGAATGTATATTCTGCTGCTGTTGTGTGGAGTGTTATGTATACGTTCATTAGGTTCAGTTGGTCTGTAATGTTGTTCAAGTCCTCTGTTCTTTATTGATACTCTGTCTGGTTGAGTTTTCCATTATTGAAATCTCCTGTTACTGTAATACTTCCTTTAATTCTGTTAGTGTTTGCTTCATATATGTGTCAGTGTAAGAAATGTTCAAACTTGTAGAGGATTTTTATAAGAGTTTATTTGTGCCAAACTGATGACAAAGTAGGGGGCAAGATCTCGAATACTCCAGAGAATAACAGTTTTGCATCTTTTACACATTTGAAATTAAGGAGGGAATGTAAGAAAGGTTACATGAAGGCGGGAATTGGATTATAGGATAGTTAATATTGGTCACTCTTTAGAAGGAGGGGTCTGAAAGGGGGCATTTCATAAATATGTTAACCTAGATGCACAGAAACAATGGATAGGCCTTGCTTAAGGCAAAGATAAACCTTTTACTGAAAAATTATATGCCTGGGATATGACTACCCACCCTCACCTGCCTAGTTAGGAATTTACGATCAGATCACTCTGTGATGTTACTTTCCACAGAAGCTCCTTTTCATCCACATGTGTAGGTGCTCTGTTATTAACACATATAATTGTTATAGCTTTCTGGTGAGCTGACCCTACAGAAAATTCAGTAAATATAAAAAGGCACACAAAAGAAAATTAGGGCCACCTAAATAGTTAGCATTTTGTGGTATTTTTTATTCTGTATTCTTCCAGGCTCTTTTTTTCTACAGACACATTCAGGAGAAGCAGTGTAGCTAGAACAAAGGATTGGGAAGAGAGGTAGGAAATATCACAGAAAATATAAGGCCTTATAAGTCATTGAGTGGTTTTTAACCTTTAATCTGAATATGAAGGGGATCTCTTGGGAAATAACATAACCTAATTTTCCTTCCACAAGGTAAAAGCTGGTTTGTTGGGAATGGTCCACAGTGGGTCAAGGGAGAAAGTATGTATTAAGTGGTAGAGGTAATGAAAAGTTATGAGAATCTAGGTGTATTTTATAGGAACTTTTTGTTTAACTTTTTGTCTGTTGAACATCATTTTATCTTTCTTTGAATTATCCAGAATTTTGTACTGGTGAAGTTTCAATTATATAAATGCAAGAGAGACATAAAATTTTCAATAAAAATTATTTTTCTGTCATTTGCATATTTATTTGTAATTTGGTATTGGTGACAAACACCTCAATTACTTTAGCAAACAAGGGATTGATTTTCTTGTAATTAAGATGTTAAATTCTAGTTTGTCAATATGTATATATTTAATCTTTTAAAAATTCTGTTTATTAAAATTGTAGTAATCTAAGGTGCTGTCTAAGTATGAACACAAATATTAAAGGAGAGCAATGGCAATGTTTTCTGTAAGTCTGTGGCAAAGGGATTATTTATAATTGATTCTTAAAGCACCTTGCTGTTATTAAATAAAGTAAAATTTAAATATAATCATGCATTGAAGTAACATTATTAAAACAACTTATGTTGCCTACTTTACATTTTCCAGGAACATCACTTACAGCGAGCTATTTCAGCACAGCAAGTGTTTAGAGAGAAAAAGGAAAGCATGGTCATTCCAGTTCCTGAGGCAGAGAGCAACGTCAACTATTACAATCGCTTGTACAAAGGAGAGTTTAAACAACCAAAACAGTTCATTCATATTCAGCGTAAGTTTGTTAATTCATTATTTTCTGTTTGTAATTTAAAATCGTTTCTCTCTTTTACCCAAAGAGATTTTAATTTTTCAATTTATATACACTGATTAATAGAAATGTAAAAGTTAAAGAATAAAATTTCTCTGTGCTTATATCTGAACTTGGAGATCATTTGAGTGTTAGTTGCATTTGGAACATTTGATGTTTATGTAGTATAGGATTTTGCATAGCACTTATACTTTATTATACAGCTAAAAGTTGGTGGATTACCGTACCTAAATAAGATTTATTTTTAAAGTTCTAATGGCTATAATGCCAATTAGGTGTGCATTCTGAAATTTTTTAGAATTAGTTCCTACTTTCATCTAGTTTTTATAAAATTCTCATTCTGCCTCCTTGATACTCTCATGTTTCTATTCATTGTTACTAGTTGAATGATCACCATCTCTTGCCTTAAAACTATTTTAATAATCTCCTAATTATTATATTATTACCCCCCTATCTCCTGTCCTTACCCTCTTCTAATATATCTATTCAAAAGGTCCACCAGCACTGGAGTGGTCTTCCTGTAATACCTGTCTGATCAAATTACGCTCTGGCTTAAAATCCTACTGTTCTTTATTGTCTATAGTAGGAGTTTTCAACTGATTCCTCAGAGACGTGCTAGTGTCTTGTCTAATAGTGTTTACACATACACACATGTACACACACGCACACATGCCCGCGCACACACCCTCAGGCAGTTTGTTAGAATAGAGATTCCACCACTCTGTTTAGGCCTACCTGTCTGAGAATCTCTGGTATGCAGCCTGGTAATAAGAATTTTTTAACAGTTCCTCAAGTAATTCTGAAACATCTCCAGATTTTAGACTGTGACTATAAGATCTGTTTTTTAATCAATACTAAGATACATATTTTTTTATTTGTTATCTTTGAAATAAGATTGCATTTTAAATTGCTATTGTCCTGGATTGAAATCTTGTTTATCTAAAGAGAATTTACATTTGTTTCTGCCCAGCATCTGAAGACACTACCAATCTGAGACCATTTTAAATTCTTTGCTTGTTTGTTTGTTTTTGGACCACACTGGTTGCTTTAGTTTGGACTACAGACCTGCTTGGAGTTTAGCTCTCAGGGGGAGATTCCCCCCCCTCCTTCCACCTAAGGGCAAGTGGAGAAATACAAAGTTCTTTGCTTTACCTTTCTGCATGGCCAGTTTATTTCCTTATCTTACACTGAGGTTGCCCTGTGGTAGTCTAGCTATATGTAGGAGTATACTATCAAACCTCCTAATAGACTCCAGCATGAAGTGATTTTTTCCCTTTCTTTCTGAACATAAAATCATGATGCATTTGTAATTGATGGCAGTTTAGATTTTAGTACAGAATTTAGTAATAGCCGGATTCTCCATTTTGAATACAAGGTACTTTGTGATTTACTCCCTGACTGTTCTGTTAACCTCATTTCCTGTTGCTCTTCCCCTCACTCTGTACCATAGGGACTAACTAAAAATTATACACATTTGCTTTGCTCCACATTTCACAATTCCTTGCATGTGCTATTCAAGTCTTCTTTCCCTTCCTATAGCTCATTTAAGACCTAACTCGCTTATAAAGCTTACTCTGACTTTTCTCATTCCACTTCTCTTTTTTGCTTATCTCCGTATCTTGTATTAGAGGACTCACCACATGTCATTGCAGCTATTTGCAGCCATTCTTTCTTTCCTTTTAGCTGTGAGTTCCTTGAGGACAGAAGACTTTGTTTTGTTTTCTTTTTGTATCTTTATAGTAAAGCCCATGGCTTACAGATGCTCAATAAATGGCATGTTTGTTGACTGATTCATTTGTTTTTAAATGGCTTTTAGGCCATTAGGTGTTAGAACCATTTTCCAGAGACTTTTTCTCTCTGAAGCATTCAAGAGAAACACACATGCAAAAATTATTTGTGCTATGTTTCCTGTGTTCTTTCATTTTGAGTCCCTTTAGCTTGTTGAATTTACCTTATCTTTGCATCAGGAAGGAGATAGCTGTTCACAATAGGAATTTTAAGAATTTGTCAAGCCAAAGTATCCTTTTTTTTTTGTATTTTAATAATAGTAGAGCCAGACAACAGGACCATTTGTAAAAACCATCCTTGGAAACCAAGAAACTGGGTGTAATCATCTGGATCAGGCCCATTGGATGCAATAAACATTCATCTTGTGTTGATTTTTTTAATTTATTTCATTGTATTTTAGTTTATTATTGTAAAACATGGAATAAAAATAACAATTATTTTAACTTTTTAATCTTTTAATCTTTGAACATATATATATATTCTACACACTATACTATAAAATTTTATACTGTACAACAATTTTTTATTAAGTCCTTAAAGAAACTTCTGATAATATTGCTCTGGATTTTCCTTTTTCTTCTTTTAATGATAGATATGAAAGAATCCCCATTTGCCTGGCTAGAAAAAGACGTTGCAGAATTGCCACAGTAAGGTGGCCCTAGTTGCAGGCCCATTGTATTGCTTGCCTGGGCTTTGGCAGAAACCTCTATTGGTCTCTCTGCTCTAGCTTCATGTCTTCCAGTCCATTGTTCACACTGCCACTATTGTAATTATTACCCGTTTAGACTTTTTCAAAGACTCTCTGTTGCATATAGGATAAAAATTTAACATCTCTGTATGATGTTTAAGACCCTTCTTTGTGCCTGTCCAGCCACAGTTCCCTGTGTGTTCTTCCTCTATGACACCAACCTTACTGAAATGAACTGTTGGAGAGTCTGTTTCCTTCTCTTGACTGTAAACTCCTGAGTAACAGAAGTTCCAACTCATTCACCATATAGTCCCTACAGTCTGAGTACTCTTCCCCCCTCCCCCAATTCCTGTAACTCTTCATACTTAGTTACAATGATGAGCTCCTTGCAACTCTTTGACTTATGTCTTATTTTCTAATGCCTCCATGGCCTCACATAGCCCTTTACTTTCCTCCTCTACTTGTTAAAACACCTTGTTCTCCAAGTCTCATCTATGGGATTACTTTTAGGAGCCTTTTCCTGACCCCTTTAAGCCCTTGGTACTATGTACCTGAAGCCCTACTGTGTCATGTGCACACCCTCAGTATGGCATTGACCACTTTCAGTTGTGATTGTTGCCCTCTCTTGCTCAATAAGCATAATGCTCTTTGAGAGCAGGGGAATTTTTTTCTTTTAGTTTCACTACATAGTATAGTACTTAGCATGTGGTTAGGTATGCAATTATTTGCTGAGTAAAAAATGAGTGAGTGAATGGATGGTTGAAGATAAAAGCATACATACACATCAGGGCAGTTTTTAGACATCAGTCTTGTAGGACTCAAAATTGTATACAGAATCAAAGATAAGAATAAAATTATTGGTGTGTACAGTGAAATTGAGAGACCTGCCATGTGGATCCAAGTTAGAAGTTAAAAGTGAGCTCTATTATTCACCAAAGTGTCAGCCAAGAAGGAGTTGGGAGTGGAATGACTCCAGCTTCGGTAGGGATGTAAAACTTGTTCCTTCCTGTCCTTTTTAGTACCAGTTCTCCATAGTCACCCATATTGTATTCAGGGAAGTTATTTAATCACAACACATCTGGGTATTCTTATCAGGTTGGAAGCATCTTAGAAGCACATAGTCTTTGATGACCAAGATACTCAAACTCTTGTTCATTTACACATTGATCAATTGTGTGACATATGTAGAAAATGCTGCCTTCATTTTACTTACTGTTATAACAGATTTACTTTGGGTACTTCAACTCAGATGTTTTAATTCTTGAATTCCTTTTGGCATTTAAGAATTTCATTAAGTTCAGGATCTAAACTTTTCTCCTTAAGGAAATAACTTTGTTTATGTTGCAATAAGTTCTGTGTTTTGAGCTCCTATGACCCCTTTTATTTAATGATAATATTTTATAGTCGACATTAGGTATCAGAATTTTAGAACAAGAAGGAACTTGAGATATTGTTTCATAAATATTCTGAAGTTAATTTGTGTCTAGTTTTTAACTCAGTTAGATGGTTCTTGGCAACAGGAGTCCTTGTTTTAATCAGAGGCTTCGCTTCCCCTTCACTGCATTATACCTACAGACACAAATCAGTAGAACATCTCACCTGCTTCTTGGCTAAAAGGATAATTCAGGAGAAAGGATAGGTGGGGTAGCCCTCTTATTATGTTAGGCAGGGGGAGGAACTCTCACAAAGGAAATTGAATTCTGCTGTTTTGTGTCTGTGGCCAAGATCGTAAGCCCTGGCAAAGTGCCCGTGTGTGTACTCTACTGTATACTAAAGTACACTTTAAGCTGGCTCCTTCTCAGTCTGATAACGCTGACCAATATACACAGGGAAAAGAAGAAGAATCCCATTTAATGTAAAATGGACTTGTATAGTCCACTAGGTTTTCAGCAAGAGTGAGACAGACTCTGGCCTAACACCCAGCTTCAATCCCATTATCTTTGGAATGTCCTTTGCTATTCTCATGAAACAAAAATGATTGTAATTGACCCTTAGCCCTGGCCAGACAAACATGTTTTGATTGGAAAGAGTTGGATAAGGTCTCATATGAAAAGTATTGTTTTGTTATACAGTAAAACTTATTGGTGAAAAGGGTGCATTTTAGGAACATCATTTTCTTGTAAAAATGTCACTGGATATGCATTAAGAAATCAAATTGAACACAAATCCCATGAGCTGACATCACATATTTAAATAAACACTAGAAAAACAGAGTCAGAAGTACAAAAGCAGGTTGTATCAAATTTGTGAAGAACCACATTCCAGGTGAGGCTGGATTCCAGGTTGGGGTATTTAGAAGGATTATAACAGGGACAGTGAGCAAGGCCTGGCACTGAAGGCAGTTCACATTCAGAATTTTCCTCTCTTCTCAAGATTAGGCTGACTCTCCTGACTTTGGATAAAGCAGTGAGTATGGGTACTAGGGCTGAAATGGTAGACCATTATCTGGGTAGCTACTAATCCAGGAAGGAGGAGGAACCCCAGAACT